CTTTGAACAAAAGGCACGAACTCCTTTCAAAATGCAGACACCGTGCCAAATTCCTACTCAAAAACACATAATACCTAATTTGCATCTACACCGGCCCAACTCTACATATACACGTCAAATTTGAAATTCCCTTCACTCCTGAAGATTGCCTAGTGCATGAAACAGCCTGTAGAGTGAAATTACAAGTTCCTTATTATTAGTATTATATTATATATATTATATATATATATATATATATATATATTGAATAAACGCCTCCCTTGAATAAACGCCCAGAGGCGTTTATATTTTTCCTCGAATAAGCACCCCTTCCCCTAAATGTCTAAACAATCTAATGGAAGCAACGTCTTTCTCAACATATTATATTGATGTTCTACACTAGAATTACATTTTTTCTAAGCTGGGTGGGATTAATACGTCTTTATGATCACGCAAATAAGACATTTTGACGTATCTGTTGTACATCTACAATTTACAGTGAAATTAAGGGGCGTTTATTTTAGTATGTACGTATAATAATAATAATAATAATAATAATAATAATAATAATAATAATAATAATAATAATAATAATAATAATAATAATAATAATAATAATAAAAATAAAAATAATAATAATAATAATAATAATAATAATAATAATAATAATAATAATATAATATCATTCACTGCAGTATTGCTCAAGATGCTACAGGATAAAGTAAAAACCTAAAAGCTACAAGAAGAAAAAATACCACACCATCATCGCACCGTTTACAGGCAACTTGAGGCACAGGGGCCGGCCTATTCATAACTCACAGGTGCTCAAGTAATGGAGGTATCTAACTAAAATTCCTCCATGCTAAAACAAATTAAGCAAAGAAATCAAGCAAAACAAACAAGAGAACTAAGAAAAAGCAGCCGACAACAGATGTGTCTTGAGAGCTTTTTTGAACAAAGCAGTAGACTGACCCGGTTTCAACAGTTTGTTTACGACAAAATTTCTTTTCTGAATGAGTGTAAGTTACGTGTATGTGATATTGAAAAAACAAAAGTGTATTGAGAAATGTAGTTTACATTCTAGGCTAAGGCTATTCACTCTGTATAAAAAAAGAAATGTTTAAGTTATCATCATACGAATAGGCCTATTAGTATTGACAAAGTTAAGATTATGGATACTGGAACTAGAGATTAAAAAGGGCAGGTGGGAAAATATTGATAGGGACAAAATAACCTGCAAGATATGCAATAAAAATATTATCAAAGATGAATTTCACTTTATTTTGCAATGCCCATACTACTTTGATTTAAGAAACAAATATATTTCACAATTTATGTATTTATATCCTTTTATCAACAAGCTCTGTTTATTATTTCCAAATACAAAATATATTAATAATTTAGCTAAATGCGTCTACTTTTCGTTTGAAAAAAGAAGGAACTGCATTACGTTACAATAAATTATGTTTTGCATTACGGCCAATGGCCCATGTACTTGGATAAATTCCCTGAATAGGGAAAGAAAGAAAAGACACGAGCAAATATTTATTGGCAGTTTATTCTAAAGGGTGGAGCTGCAACAGCAAATGATCGATCACCCCAAACATGCAGACCTAGGCTCAAACAAGCAGACGTTTGTCAGTCAGTACCAGAGCAGACAGTTCGTGATGGCACATACCACACTAGCAGTTCACGAAGATGCTCTGGACCTTCATCTTTCAGAGTGTTAAAAGTAATGAGCAAAATCCTGAAGATGCTAGTGGTAGCCAATGAAGTTCTTGCAAGATCGGAGTGATGTGCTCAAATTTCTTTGTTCATGTAATGATCCTAGCAGATGTATTCTGCAAACAGTTAAAGGTGATGCATGGATCTTTTGAAAATAAGCCTACTCAAAGTCATTGAAGAATCAATCAATTCAACTTTAGGTACCTGATCGATCTGACATTCTCCAATGTTGAGGTGGAGGTCTTGGCATTTCTTCCTTTGCTGAGGGAAACTGAAGACGATGAATTCAGTCTTGTCCTCATTTAGTTTCAAAACATTTTCGGACATCCAGTTTCTCAACACAAAAGGACAGTTTTGAGAGACTCTACATTTACATCAATATCCTTAGAAGGTTTGGAAGAAATATAGATCTGTGTTTCATCAGTATAAATATGGTAAGAAAGGTTGTATCCCTTTTACACCTAAAAAATACGCCTCCCTCGAATAAACGCTCCCTCAAAAACCCTTCTCAAGAATGAATTCGTGTCATAATTTTTATTAATATTTTGTCCACACCAACAACTGATTTTCTCAACTTTCATTGTCTTTGTTTCTTTCATACTTATCTCCCACAAACAGTATTTTTTATGATACGTGGAACATCAATGAGTAGTTGTACATATAAATATACACTTTTGTATATTATGGAGTTATCTATAGATAATTATAATTGAAACTTGTACTAAAATAGGAATAAAATATACATATAAACGTGCTTTCTGTAAAATCATACATGACGTTTCTAAATCAGTGTAAAAAACATATAATATCCAATTTAGTTAAGGACATTCAGACAGGGTTTCAGTAGGAAAGCCCCTAAATTAGAAATCAGTAATGTGAAGACAACAAGAGTTGAACTTGAGTCTGAATAACCTAATTAATAAGTATTGCATCGAATTTAGAGCTGTAAGTTGGTGGTTAGACGCTTGCTATCCAATCCCTCAAATTCCTAATCTTTCAAATAAGAAATGGAAATAAAAACGCTTATACAATTAAATTTATGTGAATGTATGAATATAAGAATTTAACAAATAGGTGGAAAAAACGTTCTCTCTTATCTACTTCTTATCCCATTATACATTCACTCCTACATCCATTTATCCATCATTAACCCGTTAAAACTCATTCATTATTCTGGTCCAAAACCATTATATAGCGAACATGCATTACAGCTTAATTGCAACAAGGGACAAGATAATTGTAAAATTATACAAAATAATGCATGTGGCTGATATATGATACACGTAGCAATATTTGTTAAAGAATAATGTCTCGATTGTGTAGGATATCGACGCTGTGGTGCCTCGAGGGTACCTAGTAATTTTATCATGTTTGTGTTTCGGGTGCTACATCTGAAAAGTACAAGGGGAGGAGGACAAAAATATATTGTATAATGATGATGATGATGATGATTATGGTTATGCTTATAGTTATGGTTCTGGCTATGGTTATTTTTATGAGTATACGTATGATTATGGTTAGTGATGGTTATGGTTAGGATTGCGATTATGATTATAATGATGATGATAACCATACAAAAGATCTCATTGCTTACTTTGCTTTCCTTTTGAAGGTATTGATTCACCAATTGTGGTTTTTGAATAATCATTTGACTCAGTACTTTTTTCAGTTGTTGAGTCTGTAGTGGCCCCATCGCGAGTTGCCGCACCGGTATCCGTGGATATAGTCGTCTTCATATGCCTATTTCCAGTAGTCCCACCATTTGTTGTAGAAGAGGTGGTTGTAGACTCAGTTGTCTGCTTTATAGTTCTAGTGTGGGTTGTTGCAAACTCAGTGGTTTTAGGCGATGTAGTGGTAGCCATAGACCCGGTTACCTGATCTGTAAGAGTTGTCGAGGCTGTGGTGGCCCCATCGCCCGTTGTTGCACCGGTTGTCGTGGATGCAGTGGTCTTAATATGTCCAGTAGTCGTAGGCCTATGCTCAGTTGTAGAAGAAGTGGTTGTTATAGACTTAGTTGTCTGCTTTGTGTTGGTTGTTATAAAGTCAGTGGTTTGCCCTCCACTCGTATGATCCGTGGTTGTTATAGACTTAGTTGTCTGCTTTGTGTTGGTTGTTATAAAGTCAGTGGTTTGCCCTCCACTCGTATGATCCGTTGTTGTAGATGATGTAATGGTTGGGGTGCTTTGCCCGAAACTCGTAGGGTCAGTTGTTAGGTCTATTGAAGCAAGCATTGGGTTTGTAGTGGTCTCCATAGACCCGGGTGCCTGGTCTATTAGAGTGGTCGATTGCGTTGATACATTGGAATAATATTCTTCAGTTGTCGTGTCGTTAGTGGCGGTTTTAATTGATGAATGTGAACTTTTCCCTGTAAGATTAACAAAACAAACGTACAGTACAAGTGTTCCTACCATGTCAAGTGGAATTACGTCATTAGACTGTGCTTACGGTATACTGTACTACAGATAATTATATAGTACAGTTATACAGCTACATTTTACAGACTCCAAAGCTATTTATTAACAGAACAAATATAAACTTGTTTACCTTTATACATATGTCTCTATATAAAATATAGAGGCGTAGTGGGTGGGGTATTTAAGTATAGAATTAGTTAAATACCTTCAAATTTAAAAAAAGTTATGCTTTTGTTAATGTTAATAATTACATATTTTAGAAACATTTTCGACTTCGTTTTAAATGATAGCCTTTCAGGGCTTTCTCTCTAGTGCGAGTAATATGGCATTCCCTTGTAAAATTCTCATCAATAATTACTTCGAGGTGCTTAGCATTGTGTACTCTTATAACAGGGTCGCTATTCTTCCGACTGAGAAATTATTGATGAGCAAGTCTCTGCCTCAAACCCAGTATATATATAATTGTATTATACATTATATTATATTTGTCTTATGGGTATACACGACCATTTGTAAAACAACCTTTGTGTTGAAAGGCTATCGTGTCTAAATAAAATGAATGAATGAATGAATGAATGAATAAGTACAGTACCATAAATTGAGATTATGCTATATTCGGACTCAATTTGACTTTAGCCAAGAAGATATTTGTTCAACATTTTGGTTTAGCGTTTCAATTATTTAATTTTCATTTTTAGACGTGTAATAATATATGATCGTATCATCGGCATACATACTAACTTTGCAATTACTAATTATATTGGGATGATTGCTAATATAAATGATAAAAATAAGGGGGCCGATAATTGATTCTTGTAAAACACCGCATTTGATAACATGGGATTCAGACTTCTATCATCAATTTGAGTGTAGATTGGGTTCGTTTGGATAAATAACTTTCGAACTGCTTATACCATACAATTTAGTTTGTTTTAAAGTATATCATAGTTGACTGTATCAAATGCTTTCTTAAAGTCTAATAAGCACAAGCCGAACATCTTCCCCTCGTCGACTGCACTGTACCAATTTCCAGTGACACCAATACTGTAAGTACTGGTCCACTGATTAATATCAGAAAAAAAGATAACCATTTTTTTTCTAAAATTTTGTAGGTATTTAACTAATACCGTACTAAAATACCCACCCCACGCCCCTGATATTTTATATAAAGACATATAGACAGTTATGTATAGAAGTAAACTATTATACCATGGAGACTTGTAAATTATCAAAAAAGCATTCATGATTAACTTGATTTATTTTTAAATGAAAACGATTTACTTTGCAAAAATCAATCAGGTTTCAGATCATCTTACTTCCCTTCAACTGTACTTATTAGATAGAATAATACATACCGGTACTCCAAGTATCGGAATGCATGCCATCGTGTCGGGATTCAATATTTCGGCATTAATTATGTCATCATCAGGAATAAAAAAAAATCCTGATGATGACATAATTAATGTGAAAAAAATGGTTATCTTTTCGTAGCAGAAAAATGATACTGTACTAGTTTATGGCGAGCCGAGTTGTCATTTAATCGTAAATAGAGATATCTTAGTTTTAAATAGAGGTATCTTAGTTTTTAATAGAGATATCTTAGTTTTAACTAAGATATCTCTATTAATAGAGATATCTTAGTTTTAAATAGAGATATCTCTATTAAAAACTAAGATATCTCTATTTAAAACTAAGATATCTCTATT